GTTTCAGTGAAAGCAAAGATGGCGAACGAACTGGACAGAGTGCGAATCTCAGCTGCGGAACTCCGAGCTGAAGCGTCGAATTCAATCAATATTGATGACTGTCAGAAAGGTGAGAGGCAGTGAACTTGATACTTTGAAGGAACACACTCCTGGAAAAGTCAATAGATTTAACCGAAAAAGTATCCCGAGTTAGCTGGAAGTAGCCTACGGAGTTGCTAAGTTTGTAACCAGCTAATGTTGTTAGCTAGCTAGCTGTATGCCTCTCCGTTCTTTGGTCCGTTTTAAACGCCCCCTCCAACAGCGGATAATTTATGTGCGACTGTTGTCACGATTTAACCACGTTTCTTTTATTTATTCGTACTGTTTTTACATTAAATAATGTATACTTTAAGAACACTAGTCAAAGGGATGTTACGGTAATATTTGAATGTAACATAAACGTTAAATGGTGCAACCACAGATAAGCTCAACTATTCTGTTTTTTAAACGTTAGGGATTTAGCTGACGTCATCCAATCTTTACTGTTACGTTTTTTCGCAAAAGCGAACAAAAGTTGTATTTGTAAACCTAATAGTAGTTAAAACAGTGATATTTGTTTCTAATGTTGAGGTACGTTTATTTGTTACTATGCATTTCCCATGTCCACTTTTTTCACTTGTCCACCCAGGGAATGCTTTCTGGTATTTATTGTTGGTAAAACGCTGTGAAAAGAAAACAGTTCATCATGTTTAATACATTCGATGTTAAATTGGTGGTGATATTGTGCCACTACAATATTTAAGGTTAAAAAACTAAACAAAAACGTTAGTCTAATAACATAATGATATAATTGTGTCTTAGGTAAGGTGCTAACAAACAACATCAAAAAAGTGTACTGCTGATTTTGTTAACTAAACTGAAAGTTTATTTTGTCAACAGGATTTGTTGACAAAATACAAAAATATATCAACTTTGTATTTTAATACCCATACTCAAGCTACTTTATTTTCTGTGTTTTTTTTTCTGTAGAGGAGCAACAAGAGTATCACGTACACAAGCAGCAAAGGAAGCGAGAAGGAAAGCACCCTCGCCCTGAACTGCAGCGCTACCAGCCAGTAGCTGGAAATGGAAGGTGTCACCGTGACGATGAGGAGGGAGAAACGAGTGGCCCTCTGTCCGCTGATTCCCATGATGAACCACCACAGAGTGAGAAAAAGGTTGAAAAAGCTTTAGAGAGACATGGGTGCACAGACAGTGGGGCGGTCACCGACAAAAGGGAAGAAGACAGGAAGAGAGGTGATGGTAGTAACACTCAGAACGGTAGAAAAGGCAACAGCTCCCAGTCTAAAGCAGAAGTAAATCAAGAGAAAGTTTCTGTTGAAGATGACAAAGACCACCAGGAACCCGTTGGAGCTGCTAGGGCAACACGAAAAGCTCGAAAACCAGACCGAGAATTGTATCAACCTGGGAGCCGAAGAAGCATCCAGGGAAAAGACTGTGGAGTTGGAAAAGAGCAGGATAAGCCTCCAGCTAGCAATAACGGGCAGAAAAGTGAGCCAGAGTCCCAGATAAGTACAGGAGAAAAAGAGGGGAACCAAAAAACTTGTTTACAGGAGCAGGAAGGGGGAAATAAAGAAGTAAAGGTTAAACCGGACAACATAAAATTGCCTAAATCCACTGAGACAAACCGAAAGCAAGGAGGCCGAGATGTGGAAAAAAAAGCATTACCCTCCAATGCTACGGTGGACGAAATGACTAGCAAACTTGACAAACTTGGCATGAAAGAAAAGGTGGGATGTGACAGCCAAGTCATTGACGAGTTAAGTTGCGAGAGAGGGGAAACATCTTCCAAGGAAAAGAGAGGCCAAGGTAGAGGAACAAAAGAGGAGGAGGAAAAGGTAGAAATGAAAAGGGAAAAAGGAAACCGCAACAGAAGGGGAGAAGATAAGGAAAGGGAGAGTAATCCAGATTCCAGACGAGGGAAAGAGGAAGCAGGCAGTCGAGGAAAGGTTGACCGGGGGAAAGCTGAGAAGGAAAGAGACAAGAGAGCACCAGACGCAGACAAGGATAATAAACCAGGTAACACAGGAGAGTCGCACCAAAGCAAAGGAAGAGAGAATCGCAGAGAAAGCAAAAGAGGAGACAACAACAACAACAACCGGTCAAGAGATGCTGAAAACGATGCTAAAACCGAAAGAAACACAGACAGGGCAGTGGAAGGAGGCGATAGAAACAAATCCAATGCAAACAGCACGACGCCAACCTCAAAACGCTATTCCAAGTCAGATATTCGCCGCTCACGGAATCGCACTTACAGCAGCAGCTCAGCCAGCAGCGTGACCAGCCTGGATGGCCCTCGAGTAAGGATGGATGTGGAGCGTACCAAGTGGCCTCGCTCTGAGCCTAAGCACAAAGAGGGGGTTGCTACAAGCGGAGCAGGACGGAGAAGTCATTTAAAAAGCTGGACAACCAATGGGGAATCATCCACAGAGTCAATGGAAGGGAGTGAGATGAGTGACAAAGCAGAAGAGAGGAAAAGAAGAGGTGGCAGGGAAGAACTAAGTGCTGAGAGGCGGAGGGTAGAGAGGAGCAAACCAAAGGGAACCAGAGGGGGAGATAGGGGAATCCTTAGGGTCTCTCTAGAAAAACTGCCAGGTACCCCATCACATGTTGCCGTATCACAACATCGCACGCCAGGCTTGGTTCCCCGGGGCAGAGGGGGGGGTATCCTGATACTTCCTGCTCGCACAGACATCTCTAATTCTCCTGAGGTCGGGCAGAGGCTTCTTTTTGGTGGTATCAGGGGAGGGGGAGCCGCCAGAAGTAGAGGAGGCCGAGGAGGAGGAGCGAGGCGTCTCTGGGATCCAAACAACCCCGACCAGAAGCCAGCTCTCACCAGCACCCAGTCCTCGCAGCATTCATCTCGCCAGCAGCCTGTATATCTTCAGACAGGGGCTGGAATTGGTCAACTTCACTTCCTGGACACAGACGATGAGGTGGCAGGAAGTCCTCCGGTCGCGCAGGGTGATCACTTTCGAGCCCAGCAGGTCGCTGCCATGGCCTTTTACAAATTCCAAAACTCTGACAACCCTTACGGCCACCCCGTGCCAGCCAGCAACTCACACAGTCCTGGCAGCACCGCCAGCCCGCGCTATGCATACCCTTATCAAATGGGACCCTACCAAATGGCTCCCGCTAATGGTATGTACCCTGTGGGTCAATTCTGTGGGAGTTACAGGGGAGCAGGTTATCCCCAGCCTGTTGCAGGAGGTAGTTTGACATCGGAAGAGGTGGAGCAACAAGCCAGAGGGGAGCTGGGGAGGATGCTGAGGGCTGCGGACGCACAGGAGCTTCAGCTCAGCAACCTGCTGTCCCGGGACAGAGTGAGTGCTGAGGGACTGGAACGCATGGCCCAGCTCAGGTGAGGATTTTGAGTAACAGCTGTGTATTTTTCTATATTTTAGTTTTCGCTTACACTACTTGTTAGGCTTTCAGGTTATTGTCCCTAATTATTAGTAGTAGACTTATTGAAAGAGCACTGTCCTGATATGCCCTCCTGTTTTTCTAGAGCTGACATTTTGGGGCTCTATGAGCAGGTCCTCCTGACAGACATCGACTACTCTGACTCGCAGAACGTGGATCAAGCTCTGTGGAAGAATGTCTTTTACCAGGTCATAGAGCGCTTCCGGCAGCTCCTCAAAGACCCCGCCTATGACAACACACCTCATGTAAAGAACATGCTGCTCACACTGCTCGATGAGGTAAGAATTATGTGGGGAAATCAGTCAGGGGAAAATGAAGAGGTTATTGCAAGGGGGGGCAGTTTGGATGTGTGTGTCTTGCATTGAACACCTGTTTGCAGGATTCATTACCCTGCTTGAGAGGAAGTCAATACAAATGCTCATAGTGTCTTTGGGCACTTCATTGGGTATTGATTGGTAGAAACTAGATCAGTAAACCCAGAACTAGTACTGTATTATTTTTAAGATGAAATATACACAGTGCATTTGAAACATTTGTATCCAAAACTGTTTTTACATCCTTGTGTTCACTGTCTGTTTTCCAGGGGGCTCTTTTCTTTGACGCGCTGCTACAGAAGCTGCAGACGGTGTACCAGTTTAAGTTACAGGATTACATGGATGGGATAGCTATCAGGGCTCGGCCATTGCGTAAAACGGTACGGCTATACTCTTTTTACTCATTATGTGATTGCACAATAAGCTGCTTGCTAGTTGTGAATTGTGTCTACAATTATGCCCTAACTGAACATTGCATCTTGTCAATATGTGTTTCTGTCTTTTTCAGGTGAAGTATGCACTTATCAGTGCTCAGCGCTGCATGATTTGTCAGGGAGATATAGCGCGTTACCGGGAACAGGCCAGTGACTCGGCCAACTACGGCAAGGCTCGCAGGTAATGGCTTTAAACATTTGATGTGTATTGGTTGGTTAGGATTATGTTTTTTTTTGCTGTGGGGCAATTTTTTTTACACCTATTGTATTCAGTCCTGATTATTTTTGACAGACTTTGTATAAATCTCTATCTCTGACAGCTTTGTAAACTTGCTTAAAAGAGAACCTTATGATTTAAAGTGGACGCAGAATATTTTTAAAAGGCTAAATCTTCCATAACGTTTCTTTGATGGTATCTCATGACTACACCTTTCCATTTTCTGTATAGCTGGTACCTGAAAGCCCAGCAGATCGCCCCCAAAAATGGACGACCATATAACCAGCTGGCCCTGCTGGCCGTTTATACAGTAAGTGATGTAGTTTAAGAACGAAGGAAAGAAAATATTGAATATTTGAGCAAACACTTATTTGCTGCTTTAATCAAATACATTAGGCTTCTTACTTATGTGTAACTCTGTGTCTTTCTTAAAGCATAATTGAAAAATACGTGATGATCCTCTCGCACCCTCCAACTATGTGTCCTTCCTGAAGGATACCTCCCTCCTCTGACTCTCCTTCCATCTCTCTCACATACAGAATAGGAAGTTGGATGCTGTGTATTATTACATGCGCAGCTTGGCAGTTTCCAACCCCATCCTGACTGCAAAGGAGAGCCTGATGAGTCTGTTTGAAGAAGCTAAGCGCAAGGTTAGACTCAAAATGAAGTCATTAACTTGAACCATATGGTATTCCTTTTGGGCCAAAAAAATGCAGGCAGCGCAAGCGCTTCTTGTTTACAGATTTTTGTTTCTGCAGATCGAGCAGCTTGAGCGAAGGAGGAGACAGGAGCACGAAGGAGGCTCCAGGGGCCCGGCAGTTAAAGGAAGAGGGCGAGGGGAGGATGGAGCCCGCGTGGAGATCTGGATTCGCCCCAGCGGACAGGCGGCGACCCCGTCCTCTCAGAGAGGCGGCAGTGAATCCAGCAGAGACTCGGAACAGGACGGAGAGCTGGGCAGTCTCAGCGCTAGTGATGTAAGATCCCTTTCTTTCTTTTGCTCTCTCTCACGCACTCACACACACACACACACACACACACACACACACACACACACACACACACACAGACACAGACACAGTCTCATGTGCTTCTTCATGTGAGACACTGGTCTCTTTGAGCATATTTCTGACGGGTATTTTCCCAAGTCACAAGGGCCTGCAGACGTCTCCAATGTTTCATAGATGATTTAATATCCCCCATATTTTTATTTTCAATATTTCCTGTGGCTTTCATTTCTGTTTACTCGTCTTTAGTTTTCATTTCCGCTCCTTTGTTCAAATATATTTTAGACTCTCTTAACCTCGTCATTCACCTTGGTTATTTCATATGCTTTTTAGTTTGTTTTTATTTTTGCCTGCACTCATTTACAACGTACTGTTAATAAGTAGACTGGATGGTTTCTCTCAAGTGTTTAAATGGAGTCATTGTGTGAAGAATACAGTAGCACACTTGAAATCATTTAACAACAGTGTTTCATCATACCAGTCTTCTTCAAGGTATTGATAGACACATATTTTTTAGACACAAGTAAATACAATATAGTCATTTGACATCCATGCTATATAACACACCTATTCATTTTACCAAAAAAAAACAGCTGTGTGCCTCTTCCAATCTATTATCTTCTTATTTTAACCATTTTCATTTTGTGTTTGCGCTTCTGTTCACTATTTGTCCGTGTATTCTGTTGGAAGAGGCATCTGTATGTGTGTCCTCTCTGCTCTTTCCAACCTCAGTAGCCTTTCAGTCAATTTCCTCCTGTCCCCATTGTTCCAATTCTCGGATGCACTGGATGAACACATGTGTTTTCATGTTTCATGTGCTGTACGGGTTGTACCTAAATATAACTGTTGCTAAAAGATTATTAATACTTTTCTTTCTTTCCCTTCTGGCCTTCTCTTTTTCTCCTCCAGCTAAATAAGAGAGTCATTCTGAGCTTCCTGCATGCACATGGAAAGCTCTTCACCAAAGTGGGGTGAGTGACGTCTCATGTATTCAGCTCTTAAATTCACTAACTGAATGAGCTTGAAGGAATCGTTTATTTTTGTTCGCATTTTTTGTGTCTATTTTTCCGGTATGTGTTATAAATGTCTGTGTCTTTACAGAATGGAGTCCTTCCCCGGAATGGCCACCCGTGTTCTGCTGGAGTTTAAGACGCTGCTTCAGCACAGCCCTTCACTACTGGGCAGCACGCACATGCTGCAGATCATCACCATCAACATGTTCACAATACACAACGCCCACAGCAGAGGTGATGCCACACACACAAACCATGTATTGCTTCAATGCTTTAACACATTTAGTTTATTATTTTTTTCTATACTTACATGAGTGATTGACAAAGATTTATTTAGTTGGAAATGTGTCTTTTTTTTTCATGTTTTTGGGTTGTAATCTCATTTTCTCACATGCAGTTCATTATGAGCATGCAGTTCTCCAACTTAAAGGGGACCTATCATGCAAAATGCACTTTTGTACGTCTTTTATACATGAATATGTGTCCCCGGTGTTCCAGGGAACGGATCTAATAAAAACTGATCCAGATTTGAACACTTTCCTGACGTCAGGACAGTGGCGCTACGGCTATTGGGCCAACTCTCCACCAATCAGGAGGAGACAGCCACGGCCATTGCCGTTCGAAAGCGCTGGAGACGCTGTAGTGCATATGCCAGGCCTGTAGATGGTGCTGTTCTCACAGAATCAGCCCTTGCAAAAACAGAGCTACATTTTTTCAAATTGAGCGAAATGAGGCATGGCTAAAATGCATGATCTGTTTGGTATTTAAAAAAAAAAGTATAAATATGCCTTATATAGGTATGGTCCTACACTATATTATTCAAATATAGCATGATAGGTCCCCTTTAAATACAATATCCAAATTAACTGTCATGCTAGGGCTTTACACAAGTAATTTGTAATATTGATAAAAAGAGTGTTGAGGAAGGATTGTTTCAAGTTCCTGTCCCTTGTTTTCCAGCTGAAGACAAGGAGGTGCGGTCTGTTTTACAAGAGCAGAGCACCGCCCTGGGTCTGGGCATGTTTGCTCTGCTGGTGCAGCGCTGCACCGAGCTGCTGAAGGAAACTCCTACAGGTACGCACACAGTACGCCCAACACCTGAATGATCTGCAGCATGTTCTGGAATTGTGGCTCTACACTCATATATAATAATGACATATAATAATATGCTATATAAAATGCCACATATATAATATGATCATCTATATAATAATATGTTGGTGATCTATATAGGAAAAACAGTTAAATAATGAATCAAGAATTACAAGAGTACAACACCACAGAACATTGGCGGACATTATTGGGCCAACTGACACATTTCCTACAGCATTAAATGTTCCAAAGCGAAACTTAATATTATGAGTTATCTACTGTATATTTACAGTTTGCAAAGAGTTATTTTAGTCACCTGTCTGGTTTAAATCAACCTCAGAGACTAACTCCCAAATCCTTGGTGACTAGAGGATTAAGCTCCTTCCCTAGACCAACCAAATGTTGATTGACTCAATTGATCTGCCAATTCATTGCAAATCTGCAATTGTACTGCGACCTCTTACAAACCCACGTCTTATATGAACTACAATTTCTCAGTCAAAGACATTAAATAAAACCCTAAAACTATGAACAATATGACCAAAAAGGTAACTTATGATCCTGTCATGCTATCTTCCACCATCAGCCCTCTTGTATGTAGTGTCTATATAACAGCACTGTTCATCAGTCTGTGGAGGAGATCAAAATATGACTTCAACAGTTGTATTTTAAAAATGTCTCTTTCTCTCTTTAAGAACCAGTCCCCATGGCAGATGGAGAGGAAGAGGGTAAAGGGGAGGAGCTTGAGGGTATGATGAGGGTCTCTGCCTTCTCATTGGACCTCAGAGAGCTGCTGCCAAGTATCAAGGTGTGGTCTGACTGGATGTTGGGACAGCCAGACCAGTGGAACCCACCACCGTGCAGCATAGAGTGAGTACTTGCAAATCAAGTAACCCTTATCCCTTCAGTAACTCTTTTTGGCCCCTTTATATTACTATGTGTTTATTTCTTTGTGTGTGTGCTCTGCTGGTACACAAACTACACTCGCCCTAAGTCTCTTCAGTGGGTTGTTGAAATTAGGGATGCTCCGATCGCCAATTTTGGGGCCGATCGCCGGAATCAGTATCGGCCGATACCGATCTTCCATTTAAAGTGATGTTTAAAACTCAGTTAATGGGGCTCATTCACTGGAGCTTCCACAAACAACAATCAACTTAATTATTACATTCAAATGATGTACATTATTCAAGTTTACATTAACTTTGGATAATAACACGGGAGAAATGAGCGGAAGCGCTCTCTTTTCCTCTCTCTCCCTCTCTCTCTCTCTCTCCTGACAGCCCGTCAGTATCTCATGCAGCTCACTGATCCAGTAATGAGTGACCCGACAGTGAAGAATAAATATATTTATAACTAGTTTAGCTTGTTCCAGAGGTAGATAAAATAGCTAAGTGTGTTAGGTCTAACTCTTGTGTGTTTCGCTCCGCTCACCGCTCCGTCACAGCGGGTGGAGCTGCAGGATTTCTGCTTCACACACACGTTGCATACCGCTATTTTACTGTCTTTTTCGGACACCTTAAAATAATGCCAGACTGGTGAAGCCATTTTGGCGAGCTTGTTTTGCCGCACACAGAGAAAAGTGTCATGTATTTTACGTCATGTGATCGGCTCTCGCGATCGGCATGTTTAGAGAGCACCGATCGATCGGTAGAGAGTGAGTATCGGCAGATCTCGATCGGAGCATCCCTAGTTGAAATAATAACATACTAAATGCTTTCCCTCTCTATCAGTGGCAGCCCTGATGTGTGGCAGGGCCTGGCTGACCTGTGTAACATGCTAGCCCGTGTGGACCATGAGGAGGTGCCGCTGTACAAAGCCGACACTGAAGAAGTTGAGGGCGATGAGGAGCTGACCGTGCTGCAGTTGAAGGAGGACCGGCTGCTGGCTGGCTTTGTACCGCTGCTCGCTGCACCACAGGAGCCTTGTTACACAGACAGACACACTGACGTGGTAAGTGGAGAATACAGGTGTATTTTGAAACACAGCAGCCCTGGCACATTACTCATACTTATGTGACCTCACTGAGTATAATCCTTTCACCGTCTAGATTGAACAACTATTCTTAAATGTTCTCTTCCTGTTCTCATGCACATAATCCCACCTCCTCTTTCCTCAGGCAATAGCAGCAGATTGTAAGAGAGTGACGGTGCTGAAGTACTTTCTGGAGGCTTTGTGTGGACAGGAAGAGCCTCTGTTGGCCTTCAAGGGAGGCAAATACATCTCTGTGGCAACTTCTCCTCCACTTAACCACTCCAAGAATACAAAGAGCAGGCAGGACTCTCTGACAGAGAAAGAGGTGACTGTCTTTACCCTGCTAACCCTCTAATAACATGTCTTCTTCAGTAGCTCTCTTTATTTTTCTTTCATCGCACTACTTTCTTCCAAAATGTTACACAATACAAAATGATGTAAATAGAAGCTTGATTTCAGGTCAGCATAGGCTGTTGTACGTATTGGAAGGCAATTTGCTTATAATGTGTCTTAACTGTGGCAGGCTGATGATGTCATAATTGAGGCAGAGTCGTCTCTCTCGGCATCAGAGGGAGAGGAGGATGCCGAAGATGTGGGAGACAGTGAGAATGACATCAGAGAACTGAAGGCGCGACGCCATGTTCTCACCAACAAACTGGCACAGCAACAGAAGCGCAGGGATAAAATACAGGTACTTAACCCTTCATAACAATAGATATCAGATAACCAAATGAATTGTGATGGATAATTAGTGAATGTAATGAGAAACAGTGAGAGCTGGCAGTGTTAAATGTTATATAATGTAATTTCTGTGTTTTCCAGGCGGTGCTGCAGACAGGCGGGCAGTTGGAGCTGGAAGTGAGGCCTCGGTTTTTGGTTCCAGATACCAACGGATTCATTGATCACTTAGGAGGCTTGAAGAAAGTCCTTCAGTGTGGAACATACATTATAGTTGTGCCACTCATCGGTAAGGCTGAAATACAGAAAGGGGAAACAAATCAATGAATAAGAATGCTCTTTAGTAAGAGGGTTAGGGAAAATGTAATTAAGATGTTGATATTATAAGAATGCACCATGTGTCTAATTTTGAAACGGTAAACATATTTGTTCATGTATACTTCATGTATGCTGTGATGTGTTTTCTCTCAGTGATTACAGAATTAGATGGCTTGGCTAAAGGCCAGGACAACTTTGCTGGAGGAATGGGACCAGGAGGGCGCACCACTGGTGGCCGTGGCAACTATAATGTTAATACAGCCCATGTGCGGGCCGTGCAGGAGAAGGCCCGGCTGGCGGTGAGTTTCCTAGAGAAAGGTTTCGAAGCCAGGGAGCCGTGTCTCAGAGCTCTGACCAGCAGAGGGAACCAGCTCGAGTCTATCTCCTTCCGCAGTGAAGACACCTCTGGACAGCAGGTGAGAGCCCACAGAAATGTAGCTCAAAATGTTTGGACCATTGTATTTTGTTTGAAAACTTTTGGTAATTGAGTTTTTGGGTGACTTTGTTTGTTTTCTTTCCTCAGGGTACCAATGACGATGTGATTCTGTCCTGCTGCCTCAACTACTGCAAAGACAAGGCCAAAGATTTCATGCCTGATCAGAGAAGTATGTAACATTGACTGTCATTTGTTTTCACATTTCCTCACATATGAAAACATGTTATTTGATTTGAGTAAAGCCATCTAGGTGTGTTTGATACTAATCTTTGTCTTGTCCCCCACACAGACGGGACAGTGAAGCTCCAAAGGGAAGTGGTGCTCCTTACAGATGACCGTAACCTGCGCGTCAAAGCATTGACCCGCAACGTCCCAGTGCGAGACATCCCTGCTTTCCTCAGCTGGGCCAAAGTGGGCTGAACCAGGCTAAGCTGGAATCAAAGGAACCCAACTGTGGAAGCCTGCTTGCCAGCCAGCCACGAGAGAAGACACACTTGAGCAGAGAAAGAAAAGGAGATGGCAGGGAGGAGGAAATGATCAAGAAAGAGTAGAACCACTTCTTATGAAAATCAAGCAAATGTAGTGAGAGCAGGGTGGGTTAAATTAGCCTTTTCCCTCTTGTGATGAAGTGTGTGTGTATGCATGTGTTAAGATCAGAGAGCTTCCCCTGGAAAGAGACAGGGAGACTTGAGAAGTCTCAGAAAGGCTGGAGCCTTGAGTCTCTGCGCCTAGTTGGTGAGTGTGTACTCTGCAAGTGGCATTACATTTGAGGCTGATGACAAAATGAGACAGTGAGAAAGAGAGTGTTAATGGTCATTTAGTTGATTAAAGACAACTGTATTGAAGGCCAAACCTGGCGCTTCCACACTTCTCTTAGGGCCCATAGACTGCTGTGTTCCTACAGCAGAGCTGAGAGGGTGGGCACAGCTGGAGGGTCTTTGTCAGTGCTGTAAAAAGTGGCTGATTGTAGTGAGGGTAATTTGGCCCTAAAGCAACCCTCGGCACATCCAAGGAATCTCATGCCGGTTATGGCATTTCCTGCTTACCCAGGAAGTTTGTGTTGCCTGATAGGTAACCTTGGTTTCCCCTCCAGCTGCATACTAATATTGAGTTTGGCTGATGTAAGAAAACTATTTAAAACAACAAAACACATTATTTATTTATTTATTTAGCTTTGGAGCTTTTGTTTCCTGCATAGATTAATTTTCTCCACTTGGAAAATTTGACAAAAAGCCTTTGTGAAATGTTCATGTTTTTTTTCTTTACATATTGGTGAATTGAGCAGTATACCAATTCACAGGTATTTGATGTCAAGACTACTCAGTTGTTCTATCATCTATCCCTTCATTTTTTGTAGTTTATACTGTTCGACCCAGGTGTGCTTTAGATGTTAGGATGTTAGCTCCTTTACGTTGACTGTCGGATACTTTATTATCGAGTGCCATTAGTGCATTTTTCGCTTTATTTTCTAATTCATCTTTACCTTCAGTCTTTCTTTTATCTTTTCAGTTAATACCACCACAACAGTTAACCTTTAAAATGTGATTAATCACCAATTGCAGTTTTCCTCTGTCTGGTTTTTCTTTTTTGTTTAGGTCCTATGTATTTCTCTTTTGTATACATGCAGTATACCGCCACAAATTACAGCCTGTAAAAGTCACCTCAACTTTAAGCAATACATTGCTGATACACCGTCTAAAACATTCAACACATAGGAACTATTTCTGTTTTTGGGACAGTTTGAGGAGATACTGAGTTATGGTCTGTGTTTCTGTCTGCATTTGAGACAGTGTCTGGAGGCTCTTAATAGAGTAGTAATAGTATTTTACACCTATGTTATCTTGTTATGTTTCATCATACACAATACATTCACTTGCCACAGTTTCATAATATTAATTTAAAAATAATACTGTAGTGGCTTGTCCACTTTGTTCCTTGTACCTTTTTTTCAGCTTGGCTCGTACAGTTTCTATCAGCAGTTGATGTTTCAGTATTTGTGAGAACCTGTTTAGAGGTTTATTAGCTTTTTCAGCCAATATTTTCTGTTGCTAATTAATTTTCAGTCCAATCTTTTGTGTTAAGTGGCTCTGCTGCAGTGTTTTAGTGTAGGAGCAAATGTAGTAAATACATGGTTAATTTAACACATTACGTTTTCATTTATCATCATTAAAAATCTTTTGATGGCACTTTGTTATTTTCTTATTGATGTGCATGAAATATTGTAATGTACACTAGAAATGTTGAAATGTCATAAGTAACACTAACAAGGCTTGTTATATTCAAGTAAGTCATCATAGTGAGACAGTATGCACAGTACCAGGACCTTGAAACTGAGGCAACTAAATGAAATTCAACAATCTTTAATTTTATCATCAGCTTTCCATCTGTGATATCTCAAAATGTCAGCTTTGAAGAAAGTTTTGCACACAAAATGCATCCTTACATTTCACATTTGTTGTACATATAGATAGGTTTCGTAATATTCAAATGTATTAAAATAAACAAAAGACAAAAATCAAACAAACATGACCTGCAGAAAATTGAATTGAAATGACTAACAAACCAAAGCCTTTACACGAGTGCCTTCATGTGGTATTGGAGGATGGCACAGATGGTGATGGAACTAAAGCTAGTCAAGGGCTTTTAGTGTAAAAAGTCAGTGGACAATGTGTTAATAAAACAGACAAACATGAGGTAATGTAAGGGTTATAGGAATATTGTAAATAAGACAACTGAACTGATCTGGTTCAGTCCTGATATCATAATAAAATTGTACATTTTAAGTGTTAATGAAAGTCCTCAATGTACTAGGAGTAGCAATTGCACAAGATAAGTGCTTGGGGGATTCTAACTATTTACTAATACATGCTATCACTATTTTTCTTAACAAGCAACTATTTATGAATGTGCATCTTTAGAGAGCATGAGTGGGACAGATTATTATTTGGTATGTGTTAACAAGTGAACTCATCCCACATATGTTCAGTTCTAGTTTGAATAAACAAATAAAATAGACATTATATAGACACACACACACACATATATATATATAAATATGTGTGCATGCCAGGAACAGGAAGTTCTGCAGCCTATCCATCCATATCATTTGCTTCAGTGCCTGGATACAGACCACACAGGCAGGACCCGATTCCCATCATCATGACAACAGGGCTACCAAGCAACCAATGAAAGCCCACTGAGCTCTGTTCTGCGAGCTGATTGGTTTCTCAGCCTGCAGCCTGTTGTGGAATGCCCATTTTCAACCTCTCTGCTGCCATGCACATTGCACATATCCTATATTTTCTGGATGCAGATTACAGCTACATGAGTAATCCTCTGGGATGCGGTGTCACATGTATACTGACGTAAAAGGTTGTTTTCAAGCTAGAACTAGAAACTATTATGAAATATATCTCTGAGTGCAGACTAAACAATATAGGCTTCAGCTACTCAAATCTATGCTTCCCTGATGTTAACACATAATGGTAGGAAGCTGACAGTCTTATAAATGATAACATGTGTAGTGCATCAATTGACTCATGTCAATCTCTTACCTGTTTTTGGGACTGGGGGGTTGAGTCCCCCTAAAAGGATGTATGGCATCACCTGGTGTAAGTCCACTTCACTGTTTAATCATACTTTATATTTTAAAATCATGTAACCATGTAAATCATGCCAGGTCATGGATTATTAAAGTATCCTACACATATTTTGCTTACATAGGGTTAAAAGAGTGCAACATTAGAGGATGTTGTCAGGTATTGAAATGATATGCCAGCACACATGGTCCACACTATTACTGTTTAGTAGAATGCATGATGGTGTTCTGATGAAAACCAACTCTTCTCATCACACTAGGATCAAGGACTGATGCACTGCACAGTGTGGTCCCTAAACAGCCATCCCTGCATCTGTTATTGTACAAGGACACATCTGAACAGTTTTAAATGTCGTTTAGGAGTAAACGACAGGCTATTTATAGTAGACACCCGATTAAGATTGAAACTGTTAATCACGTTAAGAGCTCAGTGGCAGAAAGTGCAAAAACAAACACATGTAGTGAGAGAGAGTAATGTCCAATACTTGGTTATCCCCTGCTCTTGAGTCCAGTATGCTCTCTCCATACATTCACTTGTGCTTGCAGTTGTGGCACAGCAGTGGCACACTGAGATTGGGGAGGGGGCAACATTTACCCTGAAGGGTACAGCTGGGCAGCAACAACAAGACTCAGAAAACTGTCACACGTGTACTCTCGCCTCACTTTAAGCTGACTGTACCGCTCCGACGCTGTTCATTTTTCGATTAATTTGCTTCTTGACTCCTTCACGATTGAAGGGAGGTGAATCTCTTCGCCGCCATTTTTTGTGGAACTGCCTATTGAAGAGAGAAACTTTGCTAGCTACTGGCTGCTGCCTGACGTTAGCAGCTAGCCTATCTGGCCAGTAGCTTGCCTGCCTACCAGTTCGTTGTGACAGTTATTGCTTGACAGACAGTCGTTAGCCAGGGCAGCCTGCTTCACGTAGATATAAGACTCCTGTGGCCGACCAGCATAAATGAAAAAGATAACGGTTATTGCTCAAACAAGTAAGCTAGACTCGAAGTCAGCGTTAACGTCTAAATTGGGCAGGGCACTCGTGTGGTTAGGTTAGCATTGCTAACTTAATAGCTAACGAGTTCACACTTTGATTTCTCTGGACTGCATTGCCTCGTCTGTGATTTCATCCTCTCACTCTGCCGTGTTAATCAGCCATTCACACCCCACATGTCAACCTGTGTGGATTCATTTTAACAAGGTGAGTGGGTCGTTAACTAAAGCTTCCTGCTAACATACGATGGGTAGATTTTGTTCTGAAACATGCTGCAGTGGATTTTAACATAGGTTAGCTCATAAGCTAGCCCGCTAACTGTATTTGTTGCTCCTCAGCTAACCAAAAGTTGCTGTCACAACTTGTATGGTCTGCAGCATTGACAGCTCTTAGTTTGCCTTACTGGATTAATCGGAGACCCCCTTTAGCATAAAGGTGTTTGTTTTGAATGCCTGTGTAACACATCAGTAAATAGTCTCGCTCAGAGAGCAGGGCTAGCGAGCTAAATTGAGAGTGGTTTGTTGTTAATAATGGTAACGGATTGCTTTGCCTAAGAAGCGTTAGCTATCAATGTTAGCTTGCTAATCCGCTTTATGCAACTATCGTTGCAAGCAGTGCCACTCCCTCGTTTTTGTTGTTGTCCAGTGTGGCTGATCGTTAAGTGAAACTCTGCTTTCGAGGTGTCTGTTTTGGAAGTTTTCTTATCTGTAAGTGAGTGAGTCACATACTGTCTGGATAGCTAGCTCTGTGACGGTAGGTGACATTGGTCAATACTCTTACTATGTCTGTCGCACGTACACATCCTGGCATTGTGTTTACAAGCTGAGGAGAGTCTGACAAGTCATTGTGGTTATCTTTGTGTAAGCGAGGAGGAGTGCTCGCATCCATCTGCCGCTGATAGCTGTTTTTGTGCATTGACGTGAGTCGCATTCCTCAGTTTTCTGTGTTGATATTGCGTAACACTAGCTATCGCTCGGCAGGCTACTCTTCTGCTTGGCTTATCTGTGACTTCGCTTCTTGTAACACAGTGTATCAGCTACAATAGGATTTACCATAACACTTTGAACAAGGTTAAAAACACGTTACTATTCACAAAACACGTTGCAGTCTGTTGGAGTGGTGGTCTGTCAAATGTGATGTCTAAGGTTTGATGGTTGACACCTACTCATGCTTTATTGTTGATATGCCATATACGGGTTTTGATTGTTAAATAATCACCGCAGTATGAACAGTCGACCTATTATTGTTGGTGTCTTTAGACCGCGATGAACAGATTGTCCAATTGATTATTACAGCCTATGGCATGTACGACTTGTCCTATTACCCTGTTATCACAGATCGTTGCCAGGATGCCTGTCCTTGTTGTCCTATGTTCTCTCTAACCTGTGCCTGATCTGCACACCTTTCAATTGTTCATGTGTGCCTCTGCAGGCTTGTCAAAACAACGGTGCACTAACATGCAGGAGCAGCTGCCCTTTTTTACTTTCAAGGACTTACTGTTAGCAAATGATAAGAGGCATGCCGCTGTGCAGAAAATCTCGATGCACAAGAAGGCTATGCAAAATTGGGATTACTTGTGTGTCACTGTTAAACCAGGGGGTGCTGAATATGGGAACACTGCATAATGGATTTAAGTGTCTCTAAAAAGACAAATGGATTAGATACTGAAGCGAAGCCCTGGTTGTTTGAATCCAGATCCAAATCAGTGACAGTCACTCGGCAGAAGAGGTGTTTTTCCATAATATGATCCAATGCAGTAATGCTACCATAACCTTGTTTGTTAGTTATTTGATAATTGATATATGTATTGTAGCTGTGAGTGATAAAGAAGGAACCTTATTTAGCTTACTGATTAAAATGCAACAGTGACTTTATTGTATTTAAGCACCTTTACAGCTGTCAAAACTAATGGCTAAGCAAATGACAGCATCCAGCTGTGTTGACAGACCCAGCTGACAGTGACCATTCAGTGAAATGGCAATTGCAAATATTGAACTTAGAAAGTTTTCCTTCAAATTATTTTTTCAATTCTTACAGCTGAACAGATGGAAACCAATCTTATAATTGATGAGTCAGACAGAGCAAGAACAACAATGCGGAGAATTGGCAAAGCAAACATATTTGTAAGGTGATACAACAGAGCACACATACTGTACAAACTATAACAAAACTCCACAATATTGAGGTTCTGCTGTTTTCTGAAATGTAAGGATGCAAATATAAGTTTGAATATCTTGATCTTCATCAGGTTCAGTCTTCAATTTGTTTCGAATTGTTTTAGATTAATTTAAGCTGCAACATTTCTAAATTATTCTGTCATTCACTGAGACGACTTTGTAAACTTGTATGTTTGGATGTCTGTACTGTATGTCTTGTTGTTTAAGTTGCCACAGCAAGGGTGTCTTTTTTTACTCAAGTGTCTGTTGTTCAGAGTTTGTTCACAACATTTATCTGAACAGGAAGTGTGTAAATGGAGCTCTGTGAGTGAAATGGGACGGGTCAAATCCTTTTAGTGTTTGTTCCCCCCTGTTCCTCTTCCCTGTCACCATCATCTTTAAAGTACCACAACCGAGATGTGTTGTTGTTGACGTTGGGTAGCT